TGCCCAGCTGTCAGCTTTATCATAGGTGATACCCAGCTGTCAGCTTTATCACAGGTGATACCCAGCTGTCAGCTTTATCATAGGTGATACCCAGCTGTCAGCTTTATCATAGGTGATCCCCAGCTGTCAGTTTTGTCACACATTGCCTAAAATGGAACTTTTTCATAGACTCTACCCAATTTTCCCAGCCTCCTGAACACAAAATTCAAATATATATTTACCCAAGATTCAAGAAAACTAAACAACATCCTTTACAGGAATAATTAAACAAACCAACAATCACTCCAGATACTGGACGTTGTAATCAGTCCCATCATTCTTTTCAAGACTGATTACATCGACTCCAGGCTGAGGGACTGATTACCTCAAACTTCTTCTGAACTTCACCATTCTTCTTTGTATGGACTGACGAAGCCACTGTGTGGCGAACCGTTTCCTCACTAAAGATGCCTAAACGTTGCCCATGTGTCTAATGTATCAACTTGTCGGTTTCTCTGAACCATTTATTTAGATACTAGAGACAAAGTAAACATCCACTCAAGGATCATCATAGTAACCAGTGGCTACTGGCTTAGTATAACAGTCTTCGGCTACCGGCCACGCTAGCTGGAGATTCGTCTGTAAAAACTTGCATTTGTGGTCACAGTGGTGCCTATGCTAACTTCCTATGGTGTAGAAATATACCTAGTTGGACGAAGCTTATTGTGGCTAGCTGGTCCGTGGCTAACGCGACGGTCTAAGTTTTGAGACTCTCTGACCGCGGGTTCAAATCCCCGGGGTATGGTTTTTCGGCTAAACGACTATAACACCCGGGTTTAAAACCCTTGGGGCGGATGAAGACGTTTGGTAAATTGCCTTACACAATAGTTCCTGCTCAGCTGGCAGTAAGTTCGTTGGTTTTATCCGCCTGATATGAGCCATGTTGGCAGAGAGGGGAGAGGCAGAGAGGGGGGAGGCAGAAAGGGGAGAGGCAGAGAGGGGAATGGCAGAGAGGGGAGTGGCAGAGAGGGGAGTGGCAGAGAGGGGAGTGGCAGATAGGAGAGTGGCAGAATTCTTAAAAAAGGGGTTTTGGGTTTTGGGAAAAGAGATGTGGATGGATCTAAATTCTTGCAAATTCCAATGTGCAAAAACAGAAACTATAAGTACCATTCATCTGTTCCTTCCTCTCTCTCTCTTGCCCTTCCCACTTCTCCTTCTGACTGTAGTGTATAAGTCGTGATTGAAGTGCATGTCATGATTGAAGTGTATAAAGTAGAAAATAGTTTTTAAGATTGGGGGATATAAACAAAGTCCTGAGGATATCCTTCCAAGAAAGAACCCGAAATAATGAATTCATAATTGGAAAAGGGTTAGATTTAAAAAGGATATGGGAAAAAGTTTTGGGTTTTTGGAAATAGAGTAGTCGATGAGTGGAACAGTTTGCCTGGTGGATCATTCAAGCTAAATCCTTGGGTACTTAAAAATTTTTGGGTTTAAAAATAAGTACATGAGTGAGTGGGATTGGATTTAAGGGGACTTACAGATGAGTTAATAGGGTTAGCATACCTCGGGTAGCATTGAAAATGCGTTGGGCAAATTTTTTATGTTGGTGGGTTTGGGCTTGACACGGACCTGCCTAATAGTATGGGCCAAAAGGGGCCTGCTGCAGTTTTTTTCTCATTTCTTATGTTCTAATTTTTCCCTTTCCTATCAGACTTTCTGCTCCGAGCTGCCATATTCCTGCGAGAACCCCTTTAACGGAATGTACCGCACTAGCGTCTACTTCCTGTGTAAGAACCTGGCTGAGCTGCCTCTGGCGCTGATACAACCTCCCGTCTTCACTGCTATCACCTACTACATGATAGGTCTCTCAACAGATGCCAAGAACTTTTTCGTTTGCATGGCCATACTCATGCTGGTGGCCAACGCTGCCTTTCCCCTTTTTGGGTAAGCAGTGAGCTTGGAGCTCAGGAAAGTTTGGGGTGGCCTAGTGAAGTATAGGATGACCTGGGGAGACTAGTGTGGAGTGGGGGAGTTAATACAGTTAAATGATGCAAGGGATTTATAGTGAATGATAGTACTGTGAACCGGGGGAAGTATGGGGGAAACAAGAACGTCAGGGGGGAGGGGCTGGAGAAAGGTTAATATATTAGACTGGGAAAGGCTAGTATAGTGGACTAGGAAAGGCTAATATAGTGACTAGGATAGCTAGTATATTCGTCTGGGGATAGTTTTTGGTCTGGGGAATGGTTAGTAAGGCACATGTGAGCATGTCAACCGTATTACTTGTGTAGTATATTATCTAGTATATGCATAATCTAATATCACATATAAGCTGTACACTTCTCTCTTGAACAAATACAATAAGTAACTGATTGAGTTTTACGACTCACTTGCCGTGAGTTCGATCCAACACCCATACCGTGGCTTGAAGAATAATGGAGATTAGATACTGTATATACTGTGCGATACGCTTGCAATAAATAAGATATCAATTGTTAAATATAAACTGATGTAATCCTGTTAAATCTTTTGTGTATCCATAGGCTCGTTCGCTAGCGTCCACTGGATAAATAAGGGGGACTCGACAAAATAGCTGCTTTAGCGGCAAAATCTAAAATTCCATCGACCGAGTGTATGATGTAACCCTGCCTTTCTCTCTCTTTTTTTCCCGACAGGTTACTTGGTGTCGTGTTTAGCCAGGACGGTTACCCATGGCTATGGTAATCGCCGCTCCACTCCTCATTCCTCTCATGCTGTTTGGGGGGATTCTTTCTCAGTGCTGGGGTAAGTAGAATATATTATATATATATATTATATATATATATATATATATATATATATATATATATATATATATTATATATAAAATGTATATATATATATATATATTATATATATATAATATATATATATATATTATATATTAATATATATATATATATATATATATATATTTATATAAATAATATATATATATATATAATATATATATATATATATATATATATATAATATATAATATATATATATATATATATATATATATATATATATATATATATATATATATATTTTATATATATATATATATATGCAATAAAAATCACAGTAAACAGGTGATTTCAAAATATGCAAACAACCACTCTTTAAAGAATAGGCAGAACTTGCGATCTTGGCTTAAATAGCAACGTTCATCTTGTCATACACAAGTGAAAATTTGTGTATGCAATAATTTCGGCAAAATCATTCTGAAACCTAACGAAAAAAAATATATTTCACTGTGTTTGTTTAGTATTAAATTATTGTGAACGAATTTAAGATATATTTAGTTGGGTTAGGCTAAAATAAATTGCGCTTGTTATAATAAGGTTAGGTAATTTTTTTAAGATGCTTTTTTGGGGCAAAATTATAAATTTTTACATTAACATTAAAGAAAAAAAAAAGTATCTTTAAACGTAAAGAGAAAATCTTTGAAAGGGACTTAATTTTAAATGGGTCTTGCTAATAGACCAGTTTTACATATTCAGGACGATATTATAATATATATATGTCGTGCCGAATAGGCAGAATTTGCGATCTTGGCTTAAATAGCAACGCTCATGTTGCCATATAGGACAAACGAAAATTTGTGTATGCAATAATTTCGCCAAAATCATTCTGAACTAAGGAAAAAAATTTATTTCACTGCGTTTGTTTAGTATTTAAAATTTTTGTAAAAAAAACCTAAAATTATATTTAGATGGGTTAGGCTAAAATAAATATTCATGTTATAATAAGGTTAGGTAAAGTTTTTAAGATTCTTTTGAAGCAAATTTAAAAATTTTTTTCATTAATATTAATGAAAAAAATATATATTTAACGTATAAAGAAAATTTTAGAAAAGACTTAATTTTAAATGAGTTCTTACTAATTGACCAGTTTTACATATTCGGCACGACATATATATATATATATATATATATATATATATATATATATAAAATATATATATTATATATATATATATAATATATATATATATATATATATATATATATGTATATATTGAAAAAAGAGTGAGATAGAGAAAGAGATACTGGCGTTGAGATTTTACTGACTACTGGTACATATACCCCTCACCACATACCCCCCACCACATACCTTCACCACATTCCCTCATTACATACCCCTCACCACACACCACTCACCCCTCATCACACCCATCACCACACACCATTCACCACATACCCCCCACCACATACCCCTCACCACATATCCCTCACCACACAAAAACCTCACCAGATGCCCCTGATCACACATCACTCACCACATGCCCCTGATAACACACCTCTCATCACATGCCCTGGCCACACATCACTCACCTCACACCACCCTCACCCTAAACCCATCACTACTTACCAATGACCGCACATCACTCAAAACATGCCCCTGACAACAACCCCCTCACCACAATCCTCACCACAAACCATCACCACACATCCATCACCACAAACCCATCACCACATGCCGATGACCACACATTTACTCACCACACTTCTACCACACTGCAAAGCCACTGATATACTCTCCTGCCCCTGCAGCTCGGTGGGCCCGTGTACTTTGTGTGGGTCAGGTACATTTAGTGGTTCAACTACGGTAAAAGAGGCTCTCATGATCAACCAGTGGGCCGACGTTGAAAATTCTCGGACTGTGAGGAGAACAGTACTCTCTGTTACCATACAGGGACGGAGGTTATTGAAAGTCTAGGGTACAGTAAAGGTGAGTATTTATGAGCAGTCTCAGACATACACACGCACATATACATACACTCCCAAGCACACACACACAACTAACTCATACACACCCCACAAATTCTCTCTCTCTCTCTCTCTCTCTCTCTTAAATAAAAAACCACACACATGTACACTAACACCCCACACACCCTCAACCTGTACTCCCCAGAACGCAGGGGGAGGAGATACATGATTATATACACTTGTAAAATTTTAGAGGGAGTAGTACCAACCTGCAAACGAAAAACCACTCCCTATGAAAGCAAAAGACTCGCAGACGATTTTAGCATCCCCCAGTGAAAAGCGGGACACCACTAGCACGATAAGAGACAACACAGTAAGTGTCAAGGGGCCCCAAAACTGTACAACTGCCTCCCAGAAGGCGCTGGACAGATACCTGAAGTCAGTACCTGACCAGCTGGGCTGTGGTTCGTACGTCGGGTTGCGTTGATGAGTGGAACAGTTACCTAGTTGGGTTATTGAGGCTAGGACTTTGGGTAGTTTCAAATTTAGGTTGGATAAGTACATGAGTGGGATGGGTTGGATTTTAGTGGGACTTGCACATCAGAGCTTATTTCTTGGGTAGCATTGAAAATTGGGTTGGTCAAATGCTTGTTAGTGGGATGAATTGTAAAGGCCTGCCTAGTATGGGCCAACAGGCATGCTGCAGTGTTCTCCTTTCTTATGTTCTTATGTTCTTAACAGTAACAGCCTGGTTGATCAGGCTCTGATCCACCATGAGGCCTGGTCACATTACTAAATGTAAAAAGGAGAAAATCCTTTGTTTCTTTTTTTTTCGGGAGTCACTCTGCCTCGGTGGGAGACGGCTCATGTTTAAAAAAAAATGCCTTTCTGTCTTTATTTTACAACTTGTGGGTTATTTACCTCTGATGAAGACCTATATATAGTGACTCTTCTTATCTTCTGTTTTGTTTTCTCTGTGTTATTGGCCAATTTTTTATATAATTTTGTGTCTGAATACGTTTTAAAAATTTTTTCAAACGGATTCGCCGCTGACCAGTTTGAAGGTTATCTACCAAATTATCTGTATTTGGGTTATTGAACGTACAGTTATTGAACTAAGAGTTACTAATCTCTTTCACCCCTGGATGTTGCTCCTCTTTCAGGACAACATGGGACTGGATGTCGGGCCCCCTCTTCGCTCTCATCTTTGGGTATCGCATAATAGGCTACCTCCTGCTGCTTCTTAAGACAACAGAAAGACCGTCAAGCAATATGAGTGATGATAGGCAACGATGCCGGCCCATCAGACACAAGGCAGCCAAGCTGGGCCATCAGGCCTGGCCATCAAGCAGGACTACTAAGTAGTCCTGTTTGATGATTTAAATTTAAAGTTAGGATGAAAGACAAGGTGGAAAGAACAAGTAAAAACAGCAGGAAAAGGTTGCTTGTTGGCAGTGGCGATCTTGGGGAAAAAGCGGTATAGGTAAACGCCGAGGAAAATCGACTGGTGGCAAGGGGCAACATAGCACCTATGGTTTTTGTTTTCTTATCAAGAAAAACTTTTTTTTACTTAGTTCAGAATAGTAAATTTAGTTTTAAAGACAAGAATGTGTTCAGTGTATTTTATTTGCGGGCGATTATGCAAAACCCTAGGTCTTGTTGGCGGAGGGTAAGTGGTGCCCCTTATGTCTCTGTGCATGATGTCGCCTCAGACACGAAAGACACCATTTCTGGAAAAATAATTGGAAATTAAAGATGAGCGAAGAGAAAATAGTTTTGAAAAAAGGAAATGCAAGCGTCACATCAACAAAGTGACAGAGGGACAACTGTGGTGAAGAACTGTTGCAAGGCAAGAGCGAGACTGTTCATATGGGTTAAGTAGCTTCGTCTCAAGGATTTGTTATATTTTTAAATTTTGTTAACT